CAAACCGGCTACCGTACACGTGATATTCCGTTTAGATAAATACCTTATTCTCTAGAATTTTTAGAACAACCTTAGTATTTTCTTTGTTAACATTCTAAAAAATAGTAATTCACTCGATTTCATAAAATAAATCCATACTTATACACATATTTCAGACTCTGTTAGCTGCTCTTATAATTTCTTGTACATCTTTGAATATCAAAAGTTACTCTTACATTGTCTTATATAAATACGCCCTTTTTATGTATACTAGCTTTGCTTAATAAAGAATATTTCTCTGAAGTGTTCTTTACACGAATTAGACCAATTTATAGACTTTTTATCAAATCTTAAACATGCTGCTCTGTAATACAAAGCGTATTTTAAACAACGATGCTCTATTTGTCAGTGTTTTAAAGCTGGGTTACGAACGCACGAACATTTCTAAAACTCTGATGGTGGAATACTGAATATGTTACATTGAGCATGACGCGTGCGTTTACAGTTAATAATATACTTGTTCTCTCTGAGATTCTATTAGGTTTTTGAAAGGCATATTTTCCCTCATTTGTTCTGTAACAGTATCAGGAACAAGCCTGTTGTTTAAGCCCTGCTGCTCAGGTTGATGGGCGGCGTTAGGTTTCTCCAAGTAGTAGGCATGGTGTATGCGAATGTGCGTGCGAAGATTACTGGAGCTGATAAACTTCCAGTTGCAGATATTACACTTGTACGGCTTCTCGCCCGTGTGGGTGAGGATGTGGGACTGCAGATTGCCAGACGTTGTGAAAGCCTTGGAACACTGCTTGCACTTGTACGGCCTTTCCCCGGTGTGGATTCGAACGTGCCTTCGTAGGTCGCTTGAACTCACGAAAGCTTTAGGGCAATACTGGCACTTGTGTGGTTTCTCGCCCGTGTGCGTCAAGATGTGGCGCTGTAAGTTGGTCAGCTGGGCAAACCCTCGGCAGCAGATATTACACGTGTATGGTTTTTCACCTGTGTGGATTCGGTTATGAATCTTCAGATGCGCCGCAAGAGCAAAGGCTTTTGGACATTTTTGACATTTGTAAGGCTTCTGACCAGTGTGAATAAGAACATGCCGTTGGAAGTTCCATGAGCGCGTGAATACTTTACTACAGTGCTGACAGGTGTAGGGCTTCTCCGTTCCACTGGAATCCACATCTTTTTCTTCTTTCATCGACGAAAAATCCGCTAAACGCTCTGGATCAGAGCCACCTTCCTCTCTGTTCCAAGTACTGACTCGGCTTTGTTCTTTCTCGGCATGAAAACCATTTTGTCCTTTAAGCTCTCTACTCGCAGAGATAATATGAGGCTCTGCATTTGTGAAAACCAATGGCTGGGAGAAAGGTGAGGTTATGCGATAGAATTCAGCTTGAGTAGACGCCACTGTTGGGGGAGTATCTTCGGTATTATCTACAATTCAAAAAAATCACAATTTGTTATCCTTTTTTTCATCAGCACGTTTACTCAAGTGACAATCAAATACTGTACTACTATACTGTTTCCTCCACAAAATGAACCGCAACAAACAAAACTTGTTACATATTTCATCACTTTATCATACGCAAAGTACGCCAATACAGCTTGGAATCATGGCGCTTGTAGCTGGCGCGTAAGCCAAGTGGTTTTAATGCCGAGTGGTGGTGTTAGTGGGCTTAACATAGATTTTATTAGCGACGCATTTTGGAGTGAAGCTGCTAATAACCTGAATTCTGTTAACACTTTCTTTTACATTGTACTGAAGGTGGTAATTAAATTTCTCCACCACAGTAAATATGTCGTACTTTCTTTATTTTATATATCTGAATGCTTTATTTGAGACTAGCGTTCGTTTTTGCATGTCGCAATTGTATTGTCTTCCTTGAACAAAATCTGAACTGAAGTTTTGCAGCTTTTTTGTAACTTACTGCCGAAAACGGATATATCTTGAAAATATTAGGCTCGTCAATTCAATCTTGAACACGTACTGTTCTAAAGATTCAATAAATCTTTAATGGCTCAAAATACCATTTTATAAAAGTCATCAAAAACCACCAAATTCTTCCTTGACGCTTTTAAACAGCAGTTTTAATCCGACGGCTTTTCAGCAAGCCACAAAACTGAGCTGAAAACAATTCTCGTCATCGTAAACCTTTAGAGAACCGACAATCTAGCCTGGAGAAAATGTTTTACCGAGTTAACGAAGAACAAAAGCTCACTCGCTTCGTTGCATGTTTAGTCCCAAATAGATAACTGCCTCCCACGTTAGCCAATGGCATATTCTCTGAATAACTTGAAACATCGAAAGAATTAAATCCCTAAAAGTCCACCTTTATTGAGAAAATGCGTTTTACCTCGCCAAAGCGTAGAAAGGAAGAAAATCTCATCGCTGTTTGTACACCTCCTATTAATAATTCAGGTCCAGCAAGGAGCTACTCGGTAGTCGCAAAACAAGACTAATTGACGGATTTGTTTTTTCCTTTGCGGTTTTCCTTTACCTAATTTTGGTTTTTTTCTCTATGTTGACTCTTTGTAAACGTTCGTTGCATCATAAAACTTTTTAAAGGCACGTTTATCCCTGTTGCCGAAAATGATTGGGTTTTAATATCCACTGAAAGACCCTCCAGGTAGTTTACGGGTTGCAAGATCGTATTTAAAATCCACAACAAAGAAAAGAAGAATTCTCGAAAAAAAAATTGGGCTGTAAATTGAGTGTAAGGACTTCATAGTGTCGTCTCTATTGTAAATTCTGATGAAAGGGTGCAAAAAAGCGAGAAAATCTCGAACAAGCCATCAGATATTACTTGTATTTAACCTGATAAATTGTCAGTTCTAATAAAGTGAAATGGGCAATTAGGAAATATTTGAGTGTATTTTTCACTAGCCTGCTCTCTGGAATAAATACTTCTTTTACAGTCTTCAAAATCTTTTTTGCAAGAACTCTTACCTTTCTCCCCTTCACTAAAACCAACAAAAACTGTAAGCGCTAACAACTAGAACGCACTTCATAAATATGGTTTTGAAAAATAGAAATATTACCAAAAAATTGAGAACTTACCGAAGTATGTGCTGTTGGCTTTCTTGAATTCCTTCTTTTTGATTAAAAATGAGCGAGGCATTTTTGATAAGTGAGTTTAAGGCTGATAGGCTTGCTATGTACTTCTTTGAGGATGGTAGACAGTCAGTCCGAACTCAAAATGCTTGGAGTATGATAACTCGATCGCTAACTTTGCTTCAAATGAAATGAAGAATCTTGCACTGGTTATTATAGGCGCTGATTAGGCCAGACAGGTGCAACGAGGATTTTGCAGTGGTCGTAAACAATTTCCCACTTGCTAGCTTGACACGAACTTTCATACATGGAAACTGAATGCCCTTGATCATCTCACGACAAAAGAATAACACAATCTGTTATTTAAAACAACAGCCTCTCCGTCATGCTAGGCCTAGGTATTTATTTATTAAAACCCGCCCAAGACCTATCAAGAATTCAATGCGTTACAGGTTGCGCAAGGCAGAAAATGGCTAAACGACTAATTCCACTTGACAATGGGCCGCTCTCAGCCAATCTAAACTCGCATATCTCATTGCGCATGCATGGTAGAATAGTTTGTTTAAAATCTTGAGAGGCTTGTTCGCTGCTAGTGGAATACTCTCTTGGCCAATCAGCGAACGCACTGCCAAATAATTTTAGCATGAGCAAAACAGTGAGCGAGAACAACTCTACCGATTAAAAAATCCGTCTAAACAAGTCAAAAGACTTATATTTCGCAAAGAAAATATTCAGGACCCCTTTTATGACATTTTTTAGCAATGCATTCCGTAGCGGCGCGGAAGAGTTTTGTTATAATGACTATTATTTCTTTACACTTCTGAAGAGAATCTAAGAAAGGCTCTCTGTTAAGTCAAAGCGATGTTCTTTTGTGCTTCGCGTTATGAAATTTTAATTTGGAAATATTTGGAAGTATATTATTTGCCACTGAACCATGCGGTGTCAATTATTCATACAAAAGAAAAATTATCTTTTGTTCCCGATCCACTTCTAAATGAATCCTCCACATATATACAATTTCGTTTTGAGCGCCATTTAAATTTAAATCCCCGTCGGCGAACTACGTGATTTATTACCGGGGCGCTCTATTTGATTTTTGCGATTCTTAATTTGGTGCGAACGATTTTACCAGGGTATTCCAAACAAGATAGACAAATTTCACATTAGCTAATTACTTCTCATAACATGCCTTTGTTTGAGTTTGGCCACTGCTAGCGTTGTGCACTTAGCAACGCCACCCGTCCAACTCGCCTGTGCCACTTGTTGATTCGGCGAAGGCACGTGCATCAATAACAGGTGCGATTCGACCCCTGTGCGTTGCGAACAAAGACAATACGACGTTCTCACAGCGAAGATTTCAGGAAGTGAGCAATGTCTCTTTAACAGAGTTCACACAAAAAAGCGGCGCTCTAAAATTTCTTCGAAAATAAAGCGAGCATGGCAGAGATCGCGGGAATGCCTTTGACAGTGTTTCTGAACTATCCTGAGCAAAACAATGCACATAGATATTTGAGACTGTAACCTGCTTCGATTTGTCCTGTAAAGGCATGGATAGCCATTGTCAAATGTATCATGAAAAGCAAATTAGAGTCTTTAGTGGTTTTAATGATATCCGTCTGAAAGGCTTTGCCTTAAACGTGAAGAAAAAAAATCGATTGATTCATTGCTGTCTGCTTAGGGGGGAGACGGAAAAAACGGGGGTTTTATTTCTGATTTGCGGTTTGCTCTATTGAAACTAACGTGAGCACATAAGTAGTCGCACGAAACCTGTCATAACCATACCAGAACCATCACAAGATGTTTTAGTGGTCATGACACATTCATTTTAAAGAATACAAAAGTGACGTTAAAAAATCGTCAAAAGACTCCCTCGAATGATATAATATATATCATATAAAACAAATTCGAACTACATTTCATCCATAAAGAAAATGTATCGAAGTGCCTTTTAAAAAAGTTTCATGATATTGACTCCCGATGAAGGAATGCTTGAACAATAGAGTTTCTTCTTTTGAGCCAAGTCTTACACGTGCCTAGGAATGTATATACATTAATGTGAGATTTAATGAGCTGTTAAATGAATCCATTCAAACACTGGAAAGTGATTCGCACTTTGTAGGTTTGATTTTCGAATAATACAAATGAAAAACTCACGCTTTTCGAGGACAAACTAACTTCCCATGAAGCGAGCAGCGAAGAAATCGGAAAAAGATTTGTAGCATGCTCTGACGCAGAAGTAGAACTGATTTCTGCCGTCGAGTTTTGACGCATAATTGATAATGAGGCACTTGCTACTTAAGGGACAATTTAAATCCGATTTAAAGCCCATAAGACAATAACACTGCCTACTTTAAAAGTTGCTGCTATTGAAAGTAGTTGCCGAGCCATTCTGCCCAAAGATGGGTGGGAAGTCAGAATTAGTATATGTAAAAATGAAGTGAAGGTGTCATTTCCTTGAAATAAACTTCCAAAGGGGGCCATTTTTTGGCCGGGGTCACCAGCTCTGTAACAGAACTTGCAGGTAGACGAAACAAAGAGCCGTATTAGAGCAAGATATATTCAGTATACATGCGTATTGCCCAATACATGCAAGGCGAAAAGTCGACTAAATTTTTTCTAAGTAGCAACATCTTTGTGAATAAATCGGCGCGGAAGAAAAGGCAGCTTCGAAGCATGAAGCACGTGCTTTGCGGGGATCTTCGCGTCAACGGATGCGAGATTTCCTAGCACTTCTCGTAACAACACAACCCTTAGTTTGTGGTCACGAGGACAAGAAGACATAAGATAAACCAACATTTTAATTCAGAAGTACCCACGCCTCTGTTTGTAGAATCACAAGTTGAGTTCTTTGTTGAAGCAGATGGCAATTTATGGCTCGTGTCGCAAATTGGTCTATTACTTCACTTTAATGTAGCAAAGCAAGAGTGAAGCAAATTTTAAACCAAGTGAGCGAAACGAAAATCTCCTTTTCAGCTCTGTTGGCCGCGAATATAGTGTGATACCATGCGAGTCAGCGACAAGAACCATCGACAAATTCGACTTGCGGAATTGGTTTGCTCTATCGTAATTTAGGAAACTACATTTCGAAGAATTCGTCAAATTTCATTTGTTTAGTACCCCTGGTTAGGTAAAGGCTTAGAGCTTAACCCCATTGTGTGTTAAAGGTTGTTAAAAACCATTTTTCCATAGTTGTACTCTACCTGTTTTGTAAAGTAAAAGTAATCCCTAGATCTTGGTAAGATATTGTACTACAAATTCAGTTTCGAATAGACAAGTGGAATATTCATATGCCTGAATATTCTCGCCGAATGTTAAAACGCTGAATAGTATTACTCTTTACCAACCCAAAATATCCTAATCAAAAAACAGGCAAAAGCTGACGTCTACGTATTTCTTTTTGATGACTGCACCTAAGGATTTCATCCACGCCGGACCCAAATGTATAGGAATCTTACATTGTGAACGAGTCTAATACCTCAAAAATTAGGAATACTGAATGCACGATGATCGTTGCTGTTAGCCCAATTTGACCATATGAACAGTTTACTTAATCAAGTAACACATTTTACGTTGGTAATATAATGTACGTAATACGTTCTTGACCAAACTTTGCCCAAGCTTCACTGGTATAAACATAAACCCGAATTTGTTGAAGTTGTTTACTTTTGAGATGAAAATTGTTATTCAAATATTAACATGTGCAATTTTTTTCGCTTCGTTTTTGAACGTTCAAAAATCTACAGTTCTCGATAACTATAAAAGCTTGGGTCGTTCAAAAAGAAAGGGCTGGATTTTATGTTAATATATTTTCTTCTCTGTTAGTTCGTAAGTTCGCGCTAAAGCAATGAGCACTCGCCTCTGTGATACTTTGAGTCAATAAAACATAAACTGAAAAGAGATATAACACCCCCAAAAAAATTCACAAACTGCCAATTCGAAGAAAAAAGACGTTTCTCTTTCTTGTTAAACGTAAAAGGGGAATTTACAGCTTGTCTTACTAGACCATCTTTAACTATTATTATTCGTATGAGCAAACCACGATTTTATCTGTTTTGTTTTGGTTTGGTTTGGTTTGGTTTTCTATAAATCAAACTATAATATTCTCTGCCTGGCGCAATTCACTAAAATTTTGGTTGTGATTACTTGGAAAAAATATTCTTCGTTTCTGTGATGGAACAGCTTGCCGAATGAATGTAAAGACTCGGAATCAGTCGGTTGTTTCTTCGAACTTCGGCGTCTTATCGGAAACTTAATAAGCCCAATAAGCCTAGTGTAAACAATAATCCGAACAATAGCGAAGATTAACGCCATCTGGTGCTCAAGAGTATCGAAAAGAACAAAAGGCCTAAACATAAACTTTTACCAGAGACTGTCATATTTAGAGTTGATTGAAGCACAAAAAAGTTTTCCATGTAGGTAGAAGAAAGTTCCCCAAAATGTGATGGAGTTAAAACTTGTAGAACACAAATCAAAAAGGACCGGCAAACGGTTCTTTCAATCCTTTAGTTTTCATGCTAACCGGCTTAACTTTGGAAATAAGAATTATTTAAGATGTGTAAATTAACTACAAGGAACCTTTAGCTTTGGCTTATTTTTGCCGTGTCAATTTTTGATTGTCAATTGATAGTAGTCATTATCTCTGCGAAATCAAACAGCAAAGCTTTTATTTCAACACATTCTGTCGTTCGAGTTTCGAACTTTCGTGATAGGCTTTTCCGTGAAAAAAAAGGCAACAATCAACGTAGCCAACGTCTTTTAGTGCAAATTTGTTCCTTAAGTTAAAGCTTGTATAATTACTAAAAGACGAGATGCTTTGACGTACCAGTCGAGACAGTTTGAGTTTGTTTCTCGAAACTCTGGTCATTACTTGCTAAAACTATCACTCATACTTGTACAGACGATCTTAATATTTTACCAACAATGCTGTCGCGATTTTATCGCATGCTATTTATAAAGCCAGCACTACACTACATTTATTCTGCCAAATGGTCTCGGCAAGTCTCTTGTCCCCAGCTAGCAGATGTTAAACATGATCCCACATTATCGTCTTGTTTTCACCTCAGGTAACAGGTATACCTGCTATTGATTATGAACAATTCTGCCGTTTGAAATTTCTTTTCTCGACTCCTCGACCGAATAGCTAGAAAAAAAAGGGTTTTTTTTGAAGGAATGAATTCATTCTATCTTACTGTAAAAATTTCACTACAAGGAACGTTTTTGGTATAATTTGTAAGGAAAGGCCATAGAAGTGAGAGAGAAAGAATTTGTCGAGTCTGATGGCTGTGATTTGTGAATAGTCATTCATTTTACAGTAA